ATTATTCAATTGTCTATATTGGCAAAAATGTTACAAAACGCAAAAAAATACTTTCTAAACTTTTAAATACTTCTAGGTGTTTTGTAACATTTTACAGTTCACAGATTTTCTTTAGTTACTTGACATGCTGTTAGAATTTTTATGCAACAAATTGTTGGTTGAAAATCAGCACCTAAATTTTCTTATGATTTATCCGTAACATTTGGGATCATATTTTATATTAGTAAAAATGTATCTAAACGTACCTTTAAAAAATGACTTCAATACTTTAAGAAACCACCAATACTGTTTGGGCAACTTGTATAATACTTAATATTACAATTAAAATATTTTTATAATTTAAAAGAGTATATTTTATAAAAACTATTATTATACATTTTGAAAAATAAAAAAACTTGACAAAAACAAAATATGCACGTATAGCATCCTTTATGCAGCACCGGTATGAAAGACGACACTTTGCGTGTACTAGAATGATATTTCGTTCATCTGTGTGTGTCAAAGTTTCCTATACGGTTAACACTGTAATCATAAAGAATAAAGAAGGGATAGAAAAATCGGTTAATGATCCAAAAACTAAAGGATGGAATTTGAAAATATGAAAATAACACCCCATATTCCTTCTATGAATTTAAATTACATCATCACAACCTCAAAGTGTAAACAAACCAAAAAAAAATTAAAAAATCTGAATTTAAAAAATGTACCCTAGCCTGAACTTGGAATTCAGGTACTGGATCTTCGATTTTATCAATTGGACCACCGCATCTTATAGCTACAATGACTGAATTGACAATTTAACATCTTATTGACACATGGGTCATCTTACAAACGAATCACATAAATTATGTATCCCAAAAAAATAAATAGAAACTGTTTGTTTTAAGAAAAGTGATAAAAAATATTGTCTCACTTTTGGATCCTACATAAATTCACATTTAGTATACTAAGATCAGACAATTGAACATGCACATTGGGTTGCTGGAAATTTGTTTTGTAATGAACTAAATGGACACCTTAGACAGCAAGTTAACATAGAGCTCACACCTAAAAAAGTACATTGCTTATGAACAATACCGACGAACCATGGATTAACATGGTCGTCATAAGACATATGCATACGGTACCAAAAACCTAACAATTGAGAGCTATCCACAAATTAGAACAAATTCAAAGAACAGTATGTCTCAACATAATAGGAGCCATGAAAACCACAACAACCAGAGACATGGAAGTCATTCTCATTATCACTCCCCTTCATATTTATATCAACGAGGTTGTTCTGATGACATTAACATGACTCCTCACAGTTGGACTAGAACCTGATGTAGGATCTAGTGTAGGAGGCGCTTGAAATGCTGTCACCACTTCAAGCGAACATGGACTATCTCACTGATATGTATCTTCTATTCTCTGCGTGCGTGACAGCAGCGCCAATTGATTCATGTATTAATGGACGATTTTTGCGTATACTGACAATACAATTTTTAATAGAATTCGTAATTTAAAAGTATATACGTGTTAAGTAACATTTAAGTTTAAAAGTTTGAAGCTATAGTTAGTTCTCTGTTATTTCACATGAAATGTATCTACCAAATCCTTTCCACACGTCTTCGTTGTTTCTGATAAAATAAAGATAAATTATTTGTACACATCTAAGGAGGTACATTTAACAGAATTTCTCTCAAAATTGCACTTAGAACATGTGTGCGCTAAGTCATCGATATGAATTTGTAAAACAAGTGAAAACATTAATTTATTATATATTTTTATCGCTTAAACTAAAAAAAAGTATAATCAATAAAAATCAATAATGAAACATAGACAGGCAACAGTATTTACGAGAAATGTATGAGAGGTTGCCCAAGTCTAATAAGTTATCTTTGAAGAATTAACCTATTCTGTCAGGGTTAGTACTAGAATGTCAAGAAGTTTTGGCCGAAGTATCCATCAACAATATGGTCAACTTAAGATTGATTAAAGGTTATGCCATCTTCTGATTCACTAGCCAAGAAAGCAGCCAACCAAATACTTTTTGGACCTGGTCCTTCTACTGAACCGACAACAGTGGTAGTGACAGACCTAATAAAAGAATATTCCCTTGTGAAATTTAATGAAAGATGGGATGAAACAAGAAACTGCAGAGTTGCCAGAGAACTTTCAACTTCTCTTGACAATACTACAGCAGACTATGACTAGACAAAATCTGGGCATGATCAAAAGCACTCAGACTGGTCATTGCCAAGTATGGAAGCATCTCCATTGCATGGGGTTGGCAGGATCCGCATTCTGCAGGGGGTGCGAACATAGAGATGATACCATCAAGCATATCCACTACGATTGCCTGATGCGCTCATTTTTTAGAAGATTTGTGTTCGACGAGTATAGGCTAACACCGGCCGATATAAGAGAAGCACCTCTTGGCGACGTTGTCAACTACATTAAATCTGTAGGCTGGCGCACGAGCTAGGAGGTGCCTATCATCTTAGAAGGATGCACCATGAGCCTAATGGGGCCTAAGTGCAGTGGGGGGTAACCCACCCTCCACACGTTACAGATACAGAGAGATACATAATTAACATATTAAACTGACACACTGATATTCTTCCATCAAGTTGTTGGAATTGATGTTTATCGATGCAACATTGAACGCCTTACATTGAATTAGTTTTATTTGTGGCTGATCGTTGAAAAAATAGCAGTTGACACTTTGGATTTAAATTTGTGTTCATAATTTTATTTGAATGTTCCTATGTACCTCAATTTGAAAGTATCTTTTCTAAGACTATTAAAACTGATGGATTGGTGTTGCATCGATTCCAGCAACATTAAATAAAAAGAGAACATTGTTCATCATTAATAGATTGATGAAAAAAATTGCACCGATTTCAATGTTTGCTGTAACAGTTGAATAAACGGACACACGTTAGGCCAGTATAATTTTAACTGTATTAAGGGTCTATTCTGTAACACATCCGTTAATATTTAAAAGCCTTTAAAAATTTAACTTTTAGTGGGCCGCTATTTTTTAACCAAAAATTGTATTCTGTGTACATAAATTTTAGAGGCATGTTAAAAATTATTTATTTTAACGGATTCCTTTAAAAATGACAGAAGAACACTTGACAACATCGTATTTACGATTCGTTTGAACTAATTTTGAAGGATTAGAATAATAAATTTGAAAACATAACCATACAAACCCCCAATTTTCAATTCAAAACCAAAACATACCTACATACATTTAAAATAAAAAATGTCTTGCGCATCAAGAACTACTAATAACCAAAAAGAGTTGATGCTTTTTATAACGGCAAAATTTGCTTCACGGTGGGAAAATAAACCCAATACATACAACGAAATTGTCTCTATAATATTAACATTAGTTTTGGCTACATCTTTAAAACCGAAAAATAATTTTAAAATCTGCATTTGGTAACTGAAATAGATCACTCAAGTCCCTAACTGATCTTTAATGTAATTGAATAGATGTACCTACATTATAAATGTTTTGTACTTTGTTATACCTTTCTTCATTTCCCAGTAACTCTTCAATCAAAATTTTCCCAATTTTGTCATATAACGCCATTATCGGTTCCGTTAAAAATTAAAGGCAAGTAAGTTGGTGAATACGAAACTATTTTTAAAGGCCGTCAATATTTTAACGGCCGTTAAAATATAAAGGAATTGTTACAGAATAGACTCCTTGGTCAATTTTTATTTTAAGATATGAAAACTAATTAAAATATAGTTTGTTATTATGGTACAACATAGTAACGCAGTCAAAATTGTTGCCAATAGTTAAAAAATTAAAATCAATATTTTTTGCTTAGATAATAGATACACGAATGTGCCCAAAATAGAAGCGATTGGCACAGAGTAAAATATTTTACAAATAAAAATAGTCTGCGGATTCTTTCTGCATGCATTGTGATACGTTGTCTTGGTTTTCCCCGATAATATATCATCTCTTTTGGATAAAATATCTTTAGAAGAAGAACCTAACTTTTTTCTGCAGCTGAATAATCTGTCGTCTAGACTTGTGTATAACATCTTCCTCATTTTTGTTTATAATTCTTTTTGTAAACACACTACATATTTTAAATCTATACACTCAACGCATGGGCTTAACACAAAAGACTTATGCGAAATGTATTCTGTAGGTATCCACTTAAAACACTACTTGCCACTAACTTGCTTCTCTTATTATTATTGCAACAGCACCTCCAACGCCCAGACAAGTCGAGACTAACTCTGTGAGACACATATCCGAAAACATTCATAACATACAAATCATGAGTCATAGGCCAATAATTGTTTCACTAAAAAATTTTCAGAACCTCTGATTTCATTTGCAGAATATATTGACATATTTTCAAAAAAAAAAAAGTTTGCTGCATGTCGAAATTTATTCTGCATAAACGATATAAGATGGAAGTTTCTAATTATTTTGAAAAAAAAAAAAAAAAAAAAATTGCGATATCTTAAAATATTTAGTAAAATTTACATTTCTCATCGGAAATAATACAGGGAAAACGATACAGTTTTTAGTTGGTTTTGATTCGATTTTTTTTTTAAGAAATAAGCGAGTGATTGGTCTAGATTGACTCTATTAAAATCCTATAAGAAACCATGTAAATTAATTAAAAATGCACATGGTTTGCCAAAGGAGTCAAAATAGCGTACCTTTGTACACTAAGGACCAGTGCATCAAAGACTGAAATTCTAACATCTGCATTGCCTAGAAGCTTTTTTAGTACATTATTAATTAAAAACCAAAATTAAAATGAATGCGTTCATTATTTATTAAACATTAACTTAAAGTTTTTATAAAAAAAAAAATACTTTTTGTACTTATTTTAATAGTTTTCAGTAAATATATTCTTTTAATAATTTATTTTGAATCGCCCCCAGCACTTATGCGTACCATTTAAAAGTTAAACAATGAGAAGAAAATGATAGGTAGTAAAAAGTTAGTTTAATTTTATACTGACCAGTACCTGACATTTGGCCGGATGGATTGCCTTTGACGATGCCAGCGTAGCTACCTAGTATGCCTTGCACAGAACAGAGAAAATCATAATGAAGGATTTAGGTTACTGCTTACTAATAGGTCTTCGGGATGTTAAATTAGTAGAGGGACAACGCCTAAGCTTAAATTAAAGATTATGTGCAAATCTGAATTTTCAAAATTTTGAAATCTTCTTACTACGTGTTAATTAATAAAAAATTGTATAAATTTACCCCGAAAAATTACTTTGAATTATGTATTCGGGCCAATGACTGTATATTTTTTAAAATATCTCTTATTGAGAACATCGAGTAGTTAAATGAGTCATGACTTATTTATTTTACAACATACATTTATATATTGAAAACATTTAGAAATAACACCTACATTGAAGTTGTATTTAATATTAACAAATTAAGAATCAAAGAAGTTTTTTAATATACACTGCGCCGCGAAATTAAAGCATACTTCCAAATATCGAAAAATTGTCATGAAAATTTTTAAACCGAAGCTAATGGGTCAAAATTATTTCTGTATATATTTTCAATTTTTTTTTTAGGCACCCTTTTATTTTGTTGATTACATTAAAAACAAAAATATGTACAAGTGAAATTCTATAATTTATTGGTTTAGTTAGCTTTCTGCACTTGTATTGGCAACGTTTACCTTTAGTAACAACGTACGTGAGAGCAGAAATATAGCGCCGGAGGAATGTGCTTATCAGAAGTTCAAGTGGCACTTCGACTTGGGGTGACACAATCCACTGTAAAAACATTCAAGATATTCCAAATAATAATTTTAATTCATTGACGTCAGGCTTAGAAAAATTTGTAAAGTAAATTTTTCGATTTTTAGAATTATGCGTTAATTTTGCAGTGCAGTGTATTAAAAATTACTGAATAAAATTGCCACAATAAGGAATTTTATCTAACATAATATATAAGTAGGGAAAACTATCAGAAATATAAGACAAAAGAAAAAATAATAACTAGATTGTTCAAATTGAGAAAGAAAGTCAGGTATTTAAATTTGAAATGTTTCGTTGCAATTTTGATATGCGGCAATATTGGAAGGTCATGGATTTGGATTTAATCCGTTTTCTTTAAGTATTGCACTTGGACAATCGCTTCCAATCTTTTTTTTTCAGTTCAGGTTTCTTTAAATTCGATGCAAACCGTCAAAGAACCAGTGGAACAGTTAAATACACTACAGTGTTGTTATACCATATTATTTTTTTCGTATTAGAAGTTTGTCAAGTTAAGATTAATTACAGTGATTACTGCCGTTACCTTTTTCTCTGAAATTGTGACATTCAGACATAGTCTATGAGCTAGCGGTCATTTTGACTAACATGTTGAACAAAAGGTTGAAAATTTGTACATTTTTAATTTAATATCAATTGAATTAGGAGATAATGGTCTGACAGGGATACCGCGATTGCGACAGGTATGTTTAAATTTTTTTAAATGTCAAAAAAATTGTTAAAATTATCTTGTTTTTACAAGGCTAAAACTTTCAGGAAATATTCGTTGAATTATTTTATTAACATAATTACAACTGCCAGACGAGTCTGGCGGTTCCTAGTGCCCGCCAGACAAGTGTACAAGGTGGGCTACTTAAAATGTCCACCCTCTCTTCTTGTCTTCGTTATTAATTGAGAAAACGGAATGATTTTTTTTTATTACAAATTTGGAACAAGAACTTTATTATAGCCGATTCAATTACTCTGTGACGTCATAGCGTACTTTGATTTTTTTCAGGAAATAAGAGTATATCTTAATTTATTTTTAAAAGAACATCCCAATTATTTATTGAAAATTCTAATTCAGTGAATATTTTTGGATAAGGATCTGAAAATGTTCTGTCGGCTTTCAAAATTACCGTCATATTGGATGTCATGCGAGCCATTCTCGACCAGTCCGGTCCTGCATCCTTTTTTAAAAAAACACGAGTGGCGATATGGTTGTTGAGTACGCTACTCGAAATTACACGATGGAACCTTGGAACCAGAATGAAGACATTGGTCGATGAATTCTGATCGGAAATGGATGGTCAAGTCTGGTAAAGAAATTTGTAACATTTTAAAATTCCAGTTCAAAATGTTATTTCAATTGTGTGACATCCTGTATAAAATAGTATTCGATTAATTTATATTCAATTATCGCCGCACGCAATATTCCTAAGAAAGGGAAATTTCGTGAAGTGGGAGTACAGTAAAGCAGACGATTTCGCCATTAGATCTTGAAAATTCATTTTTATAAATACATATGTTGAATCTTATTTTTTTAAAGGTTACAACAATTCTCTTTTGCCTAAATTTTATATAAGTTTTAATTAATTTCCTTTTGATAAAACTAGAGTTTATAATTCTCACTAGCTATCTAAAAATAAAAAAAGAGAATTATTGGCGCCCCTCTCTCCCAGAAAACTATTATCCCCAAAGGTGTCTATTAGAAAAGCCGGATTCACGACTGAGAAAACTATATAGTCAATGTGCTCATTTCATTTTAATTTGATTAAAGGCAAGTAATGTTTGGTGTTAAATTTCTATGAGTTAGTCAAAATTTCTTATAAGTGTTTTGAAATTAACATTTTATTGCAAAATAACGCCGAGCTATTACAAATTCCAGTACGTCTCTCATAAATGTTAATGATCACCCAATTACCATCAAGAAACCAGAATCGGAACATGTGTACCAGTAACTTCCAAAGACAAATTCGAGCAAATGATTGCATTTGCTGGTCAATCTCTGAATCAATTAGAGAAAAGGAAAGTAAAGGAAAGTAAAGGAATTTCTTCACCGATATCGTGATATTTTTGTACCAAAGGGAGGAAAAACAGAAATGACTTTTGTCGTAAAACATAAAATTGACACTGGCGATGCCAGGCCGATTCGTCAATCAGCTCAAAGATTACCAAACGCAGAGAGAAGGATTGTTCAATAAATGGTGAGAGACAGGGTAATAGAAACTTCTACCAGACCATGAGTTCCTCCAGGAACCAGAAGTCTTGGTCCAGAAAGAGGATGAAACTAAAAGATTCTGTGTGGACCACTGCTAAGTGAACAATGTTATCAAGAAAGACAGTAATTCTCGAATCGATGATACCTTGGCACATAAGCCAGAAGTAAATTATTTTCTACTTTAGACTTGAAATCTGGATATTGGCAGGTGGAAATGAACCTAGTGGACAAAGAAAAGACGGCCTTTAAGACTATATAATGCCCCCGCGACATTTTAAGGACTTAATGAAAAATGTTATCCTGGAATACATGGCTGGTGTTTTTTTCACGCTTTAAGGCATCTCTCTGCTTAAGAGGTTTTGGGCTTCTCTCAATCAGGCTTGGGGTCTAATCTGCTTTCCCTCCTCTTGGATGCCCTACTCCTTCCCATGCTTTCTTCCTTCATTATACGGTCCAGTGGGCTCCGAGCTGTACGAATTCGGCCACTCATTCAAGTCGTAATTGGAGCCTCACTGCTAGGGTTTGTGATCGATGTTTTTAATACCTTTCACGGCAACCAGCGCCCTGGCGTATTCAGGCGACAACATAGTCTTGGGGAAGATATTTGATGAACATCTAAAGAATTTGAACATAAATGGACATCACAAGATGTTTTTAAAAGACTCCAAGCTGCCCAACTGATGCTAAACCCCCAGAAATGTCAGATATTCCAAAATAAAGTCAGCAAGGATGGCGTGATTATAGATAAGGAAAAAGTCACTTCTACCAGATTGTGGCTACAACCAACTTTTTAACATCAAATAAGAAGTTTTCTTGACCTTTGTACATACAACCGAAGATTCATAAGGAAGTTGGCAGGTATTGCTAAGCCAATTAACGCGACTTACAGAAGAAGCAAGATAGTCCTGCTGGGACGAAGACTGCCAAACTACCTTTGAAACTTTAAAGAATTATTTAACCACAGTGCCAATATTAGGTTACTTACTACCAGAGGGATAATTTATTCTGGATACTGATGCCAGTAATGTGGGAATTGGAGGAGCACTTCGCAGATTCAGAAAGGACAAGAAAGAGTGCTGAGTTATTATAGTAAAGTTCTCTTAAAACCTGAGCGAAATTACTGCATTGCAAAAAGACAACTCCTGGCGCTGTGAAGTGGGTGGAATACTTTTATGAATATCTGTATGGAAGGCAACGGCGCACCCAGGTATTTTATTTGGGGGTGTTAAGAATATTGGAATACCATTTTGTACAACACAAAAGGAGAAAAGTAAGAATAAATTGCTACTAAATCATTAACATTTCGGGGGGGATTGTAAGCCATATTTGGCTCAGTGGGGCTCTTTTATTCTGGAAGAAGGCTTATTAAAGCGAGTACTCAAAAATGATGACGATTCCGAAAATAGAAAACACCAGCTTTTTTTATATACAAATGGGACGAGCTAGACCTGTTATCAAAGGTACCACGTATTCTAGAGCGCCCAGATCAGTCTAGAATTTTCATCGGCGCAGTTCCATCACTTCATCAAGCAATTACACGTAGCGGACTCAATGACCATATCGCGACAACAGAGACAGGACCGCATATACGAATTAATTACCTTAAAAACTCTTTGTAAGCCTTAGTGTTCTCATTGAGACTACCCAAATTACACCAGTTGCGAATTTAAGTATTTTTATTATTTGTGAACCTGTTAAAAAGTCCATCTTGGTCAATAATTGCGATCACGTTAATTTTAATTTTTTTTTTTTTATTTTCAAAAATTTAAATATTGGTGTCGTAACCGCGGCAGCTCTGCCAGTTTATTATTTCCTTATTCAACTGGTATTCAATTATAAATGTACAAATTTTCTGCTTTGTGTTCAACACCTTACTTAAAATGAGAGCTGGCTCTCAGTTTATATTATTTTTGGGTACCACTTTAAAAAAATAGTAATAGATTTGTTACAATTGTAATAACAACGGCAACACTGATTACCTACTTAAACAATTTATAAAATGTACCCCAGAGGGCGTATCTCTTACATTGCAAGATTGTTGTCAATAGAGAGTTGAAGCGTTTCCAGTACGATAACGTAAACGTGAACGCAGAAAAATAATGTTTACGTTTCTGTACAAAATATGAGTTGAAGTTGTTAAACGCATCGTGACAAATAATGACAATTTATATTGGGATTTCTTCTTTTTCAATTAAAAAGAGGTTATTTTATTTGCGTTACGTGTATACGCCAGAACCCGTAAGTTTATGTATGTACGTAGACGTAAACGTGAAGGATATTTTAATACGCATGCGCAGATGACAAATTATACGTATACGTTTATAACATCACTTCAACTCTCTATTTACTGGGCAGCGTTGTGACTTATCAAATTAGAAACGTAACATTTTCGAATTTAAAATCCAAAAATATTTTTTATGTAATCGGACATGAATTAAATAAAATGAGAATCCCCCATTAAAAAAGAAATTATTGGAATATCTATAAATAAATTACAGTAGATACTCTAAGAGCAATATACAAATTTATACAATTTTTTATTTTTCATAAATCTTAAAATTCGGTTAAATGAAAACAAGATTTCAAAAAACAACAAAAACAAAACATAAAAAAAATATTTACCATCACTTTGACAAATTATTACAACACTGGGATGGTACAGGAAGCTTATCTACATGCAATAACAATAACTTTAGGTCAAATTAAACGAAATTAACAAAAAGGAAGGGTTAAACTAAAATTACTAGGACTGTTCTTAAAGGAAATTGTCGGCATTGTTAAATACGTGAAGAAAATAAAAACGTCTTCACATTTATTTACTGAAATGCCATTTTATTTAGCAAGACTCGAAAATCTGTTGAAAATTCAGTTTAATAAAAATCTGTATTATTTAATGTGAACTCACCTGATTCTATATTTTGCGGAGACGAACTTTTGCCCCTGTCTGTTTTATCCGAAGATTTTCCAACATTTTCGGGTGTACCATCTAATCTGTGATCTTTATACAATACTAAATCACCTCCTTCATTCGAGTCGATATTATACACATACAGTACTCCATCCTCTGTGGCAACTAGCAGCCTTAATTGCTGTTGAATACTAGACAAAAGAATAAAAAAATGAATCGACAGTTATACTAAATATTTAGTAATTGCAATCAAATTTCCCTTGCATGTCAGCAATGATGAAAATTGTTTATCAAATTGAACAGATAAATCATTGCCGTTAGTCATATTTGTTGCTTTTCAAGATTAAAGAGGTAAATTGGTATAAGTAACGGACAGTTGTCAAATCAATATTTATGACATGTATAATTGAACTGTCTAACTGTCAACAGTATTATTTTTGTGTTTAACAAGTATTAAAAGTAATTTTAAAAAATCGACTTCAAAATCATGCAGATGCCATCACCACGTATGACCAAATTTATATGTGACCACCCTTGAGGTATAACACCCTCACTAACAAAAAAAAAATCATAGAAATCGGTCAAGGTGGTAAAGAATTATCGCTAAACATACATACAAAATGAAGAGTTTGAGGATTTGCTCATGAACCCAATTGTTAGATTTTGACCAAATTTATATGGGACCACTCCTGCAGTAGCCCCTTTCTAACAATCTAAAAGTCATTGAAATCGGACACCGTGTTAAAGAATTATCGCTGAACATACACAAAAAAACATATTCCGACGAATTGAGAACCTTTTTTGAAGTCGGTTAATAAACAAATTTATTTTTTGAAATTTAAAATGCCTAAGCATTTAAATAGCCGTGCGGAAGAATTAGTGGGGTCTCTAATAAGATATTTTGAAGAAGAACGACATAATGTCAGCGAGCGTGTACCACCTGCATTGAATTTGAATATTTCGACGGTAAGCTCAATTTCCCAGGCATTAAAGAATAACCATATTTTAAATTCTCCTCCAAAAAGCGACCACATCCCAAACCTGTAACAGAAATTTTCAATTCTGACTAGATTTGTGATGTCATTTACGATATGTAAACAACAAGTAACTCTTACGAAATTACATGAAACTTAAACGCAAAGAGAAATGTTTTCAAACTGCAAAAGATCATTGTATACAGTGTTAACCAATATAGGATTTAAATCGAAGAAAGATGATCCACAGTGGAGTCTTATGAAACTTCATCATGTTGCCAGTAAAATATTTAGTTTTTTAAAGTTATACACAATCACAAAAAATATGTCTCAATAACACTGACTGAAAGCAACATAGAAGCGAGGAATTTAATTAAATCATACACAGAATCCAGTTTCAAACGACTTTCCCTACTAGGGTGCGAAACGATCAGGAACTCACGCTCGACTTACTATTAGAAAAATTAAATATAAGATATTAATCAAAAATAAAATGCATAGATATGTGTGTAAAATACAAAAAATATGGAAAACTACGCAAGTTTAATTGCAAACAAACTACAGAATATGTTTACCTGTTGCTTGTGCACTTCGAAGTTTGATATCATCTAAAGTAACTCCTTCCTTTCTTGTTGCGTCCAAATATTTAAAAACATTGTATATTACTTCACGACTTTGTCCGTTAATAACAGATCTGCGCTATTTTCACCCACAATAGAAGACATCAAAAATAAAACCAGTTACTTTAACCAAAACACAGAAACAAGAAACAAACAAACAAACAGTGATCTAGTCGTTACGCTACGGACCGTAAGCAAGGACAAGGTTCAAATTGTGAACGGGCGTGGCGAATTTTAAGTAAACGAATTTGCGCTGGTTCTTTAGATTTGGCGTTTACTGTAGTAATGTGAATTAGTTGTTTATTTATTGTTATTGGATTATTTTACTGTAAGGGAGGGTTGTACAAATGCTACGTTTGAAATATACCTCCTCGAGCAAACCATATTAATGAAGTAAACGAAGCTTAGATCTATTAAAAGAACGGTATTGAGTAAAAAAACACTGAATACTTACGTAGCTATAGAGATAACATTTCTTACACCATAAATTGGCAAATGAGCAGTGGCAAAGGCTCTACCTTGAGTAAAGACATCTGTAACCTGTGTAGGTAAATACGTTGTCAAATAACCCATCCAACTACTTTCTTCTACGCTTTTTCTAGGACTGAAAATTATAATAAACAACAGTTACAATTGAACAACTATAAAACATAAATACACTGGAGTGCATTAATAACTTGGAGCAAGCAGTTCATAATGGGACAAAATCCCTCAGGAAGAATGTTGTCTTAATCCGAAGTATGCCTGATTGAATGAGAGCCATAATTAGGGCCCGTGGAGGCAATACATCCTATTAAATATCGTATTTATTCAAAAATGTTTAAATTAAAAAAAAAAAATGAATTTTTGCTTGTTTGCAGATTTTTCAATTTTTGGTATTTTTTATTTTTTCTTTGTTAAATTTGTAAGACATTCTCCTTTTAAATTTTGTTTATTATTAAACATTTAAATAGGAACATTTTAAACTTTTTTAAACGCCAGTTTTTAGAAAAAATCTGGGTATCCGGTTAATTTTGCACTCCAGTGTGCAACAAGATATCGCATGATGGGTATTTATATTAATATCAATTGTGATCCAAATTTTCCCGCGCATGTCATTTGGTCTATGAACAAATTACGTGTTTGTTTACTAACGCTACTTAATTTGTGTTCCACTAATAGTTAGCTGTTTTCTCTCTTAGACTGAAAAATATTTATTCCGTTCTTATATAGAGTGAGTTTTAAGTATGAATCGCCCCAATTATCTCGGAAACGGCTTGCACGATTTTTATAAACTCTGGTACGTAAAGGTTTTGTAATACGGTCGATATTATGGCTGTATTTACATTGTTGTCAAATCTTTCAGTTTTCTGGAAATATTATGAACTTTGTTATTTGAAATGGATCACCACGTATATTTTTTGTTTTTTGAAATCCTTAAGAAATACTGATTATTTTTCATGTAATGCCATAATTACAGCTACATTTACATTATCTCCGCAGAAGTTAAAATTATACATTTAGATGGTTATGACTGATATAATAACAACTTTGACGTTTCAATAAATTATTATTGTTGGTATTTATTGAAAGTCACAATGGATCGTTTATCTGAGAAAGAACGAATTGAGATTTTAATGATATTAGGATATGGTGATATGCATAGAAGTCAACAAGAAACGTGTAATATCTTTAATATTTTATATCCAAACCGAAATCCCATAACAAGATCTACTGTAAGTAAATTGGTAAATAAAATTCATTATATTTCCAGAAAACCGAAAGATTTGACAACAGTAAATTGTAATGAAGTCAATTTTCCTCAATCGGTTTATTTTCATTTTTCATTTTTAATAAATATTAAACGGGGATGTAATGAAGTCAATTTTCCTCAATCAATTTATTTTCATTTTTCATTTTTAATAAATATTAAACGCGGATGTAATGAAGTCAATTTTCCTCAATCAGTTTATTTTCATTTTTCATTGTTAATAAATATTAAACGTGATTGAACTGCTAATCTACCGATGCGCGAACGCCGCTCGAGATCTCGCTGCGCGATGGGTCTGAGCGTAGGTGGGGTCTCTAATGGGAAAGAGAATCTACAGTTGTTGAACGAGACCCGAGATGCTATTAAAATTATGAGTTCGATATAATTTTTGGTTGCCAGCAGTCGAGTCTAATAAGTCGCACTAGAAATCATCATATTTTTTCCTTTTTCGTGTATTTACAAATCCGTTAGGTAAAAAACCTTGTTCCGCTTTTTACGTTTGATATTGAGTCCGTATTTCATTTTAAAAACCGAATTAGCTTGTAGGAATAGGAACATTTTCAGATAGTGTTTAGTTAAAAGATTTAATTTGATTTCATTAATAAATAATAGAATTTGTTTTTTGGCAAATAATACCGTTTCTTTTTTTTATAGATAGTATTGAGTTAAAAGGTTTAATTTGATTTAAATAATAAATATTAGAATTTGTTTCTTGGTAAAAATATTACCGTTTCTTTTTTTTATAGATAGTGTTTAGTTAAAACATTTAATTTGATTTCATTAATAATTATTTGAATTTATTTCTTGGCAAATATAATACCGTTTCTTTAAAAAGGAATAGAATTTGAATTAAATAATAAATGATAGGATTTAATTCTGTAATATTGTAAAACCGGAGATTTTAGACTTTTGATTGTTAGTCTGTATTAAGAAATTTATTTTTTTTTCTTTTGGTAGGTTAAATCGGGAATTAAATTTGATTTCATTGATAAATACTTTTGTTTAGTAAGTGCCGCGTTGTAATTAAGTTGAGAATATTTATAAACGGAGTTTTCGAAGAGACTTTTCCCTCTTTTAATAGTTTGTTTATTCTTTTACCGTATATTTGAATAATCTTAAATAGCATCCTGTCCTTGTCTGAACAGGCTCGTGATGACGATCAGGTCACCCTTGGAGTAGGTGCTATCCGAGTTATATTTTTTTTTTTTAGTTAATCTGTAAACCGCAAATTTTAAATAATCTTAAATAGTATCCTGTCCTGTCTGAACGGGCTCGTGATGACGATCAGTTCACTCTTGGAGTAGGTACTATCCGCGTTAGTAATTTTCTTCCCTCCGATAATAGTTTTTTTTTCTTTTACCGTCAATTTAAATAACTTTAAATAGTATCCTGTCCCTGTCTGAACGGGCTCGTGATGACGATCAGGTCATTCTTGGACTAAGTGCTATCCTCGTTAGTTTTCTTTTCCCCTTTATATTCTTCATTTTTTCGTGCAAACTGCAACTTGCAGAAATCAAAAATAGCTTCATTACTCTGTCTGAGCGGGCTCGTGATAACGATCAGCTCATTCTGGGATAATAGGCTACCCCGGGTATAAATTTATTTTTATCTTCTTTCCGTATATTTACTATAAGTAGTTCTTTCGCGTCCCTGTCTCCTCGCACTCTCTTTGACCGTTTAGTAGAATACCTACATTTTAGTTTAATTCCCGATACCACGGTTAAACAGTTAATTACCGAGTAAATAGCCAAGTTAATAATTTTTTTTTCACTCTGCGACCGAAATAAACATTTTATTTCAATTTAATTTTGATGTCTGATTGAGACTAGTCGCGAATCAATACCGTCCGTTTAGTTTCTTTTTTTTTATTCAGGGTTATATTGACTATCACAACTGGGGTGGGTGTTGAAATATTTAATTTCTTTTTTTTTGTTGTAAATAATTATTCACAATATATGTGTCAATGTTAACCTGCCGTATTACTGGTTAAAAATTTCCTACTTTATTTCCCCCTTATATTTCAGCTAGTGATAAATTCGGTACCAGCCCAAGCAACGATTAAAGCCCGTTACTTGTGGCCTATTATTACCTGTGTCTAAGTGACCTTTGACCCCTGGAATTTTTCATCTCCATCTGTAGCTACCCGAGTACTTTCGACGCCGTTTCGAAAGTTTGTGGAGTAAACCATCATCAAAAATCTGGCGCTCGAGAACCGCCCGTAACCAGCGTCATTCGTAAGGAACCGTTTTCTCTGTGGCGAGAAAACCCCTTACAAAATACAACCATATTATCGACCGTATTAGGAACCTTTACATACCAAATAACTTAAAACTCACTCTGTATATAGCTGATGTTAGGGCAAGTCAATGTATCTGTTCATTTGTTTCCAGTCATTTAGAATATTACAGTGTGATATCGTCTGCAATATATGCCTGCCTTACAACTAAAATTCTAATCTATCTTTCTCTTTATCAGTACATTTATTTATAAAAAGCAAGAATGCTGCTTGGTGGTATTAAAATTTCTTGACTATGCGCTGGTTTCTTCTTTCTAGTGGAATAATGGTCATTAAATTAATATTTATTATTATCTGAAGGAAAGGAATGAGCATTTACTGCATGGTTAGCAGTTAACATCATTTAGATTACCACTGCATATCACCGAATTTCAAAATTTTATTATCACCCTATATAGTATAGTATGAATGACACTAATCATAATTAGATCTTAATGAATTAAAATAAATATTGTATTGAATAAAGAATAACTTCTAATCTATATAACAAATTAAATTGGTTCCTTACCTGTCCTTTGGTTCTTCCAATTTAAAAATATGTACAGTTTCAGTATTACTACTACAACTTAAGAACTGGCCACACAAACTGAACGCTAAACAAGATATGGCAACGCAGCGCTTAACTCCTCTTCTAAATTCGTACATTTTAGAAGCATCGGTAACCGAAAACACTCTGATGACGGTACCCTTTTCTGAAGCTGTAGCTATACGCGTTCCGTTCGGGCTAAACGCTAATGCAGCTAGCGGACTATCGTGGGCGTGTATCATTGTTTTGGCATGCTAAAAAAGTTTTTTTATGAAATATTTATCAAAAAAAAAAAATAGTTTTTCCATCAAATACATAGTATATCAAAGAGGTTAATGCAAGTGATCCAGTTTTGATTATAATTTCAATGTGTGGATTTGACATCAAAACAAAGTGGGTAACATGTATTTCTTTCTACAGAAAACAAGTTTCCATGACAACCATGTCAGATGGCACTATTATCTGTCATACTTTCTTAAACAAATATTTCACCAATATTCCTGATTTGGTTCTTGCATATAACTATAAATAAATAATAATCAAGCGAAAAGTGCAGAATATAATTAAAATTGCAATTTTATTTATAAAACCATGATTTTTCATGTAAAATAATTTAAATATAAGATAAGTAGATAGTTTTTAGTGACTAGTTAGACTATAGAAATCATCAATTGAAAAGCAATTTAACATGATACTCTTTTATAAGAGAGGATATTGGGAAGATTGTCAAATTAAGTAATAACCACTAGATGTTAAATTATTTAGAAAATATTCATAAGGCGAATATTTTGTTGTGATATTTTTAAAATCTTACCAAATTTATTGCATCGAATATCTGGACTTCACCAATGGTTGATGATCCTGGATAAGCTACATAACAGTTGTCGCTATTAATACTTAGAGCGCACAAACCTAGAGGATTCGGAGGAGTATCTCTAATGGTATGTAAAACTTTCATATCTCTAATGTTATGGATGTACAAGCTTTCTTCGAGACATACTACTAAACGAGCTCTATAAAAAAATCGATGTTTCAGTAAAACTACAAAAAGTAAAAATAGATTTAACCCCATAACATATTTATTAAGGGGGTGACTAGTTTCGTTCACTTAACCATCAGGCAATTAAAAATACAGTGGAGCGTCGATAATTCGGACGTCAAAAATCCGGACTGTAAATACATACATACATATTTGTCAAACAAATGTGTTGATGCAATAGGCTGGGCAGAGTCTTCGAATATTTAAATAAATTCATATTAATTAATGATTTTATTCATCTGCTCTATTATTTAACCACAAAAGTGAATTATTTATTTTCTCTTTGTTATAAATTCAAAAGACCTTTTTTTGATTCTTTTCGAAAATCCGGACATTTTGATAATCAAGTCAGGGTCCGGTCACAATGAATCTAGATTATCGATGCACTACTATAGTGGAAAATAGCTTAAAATTATTAATACGAAGAGGATAATTTTCTGACCATAATAGAATTTTTCATAAACAAATAAATTTTTTGGTACGTTTGATCAAATTCTATTTTTATTTAGATAGCACTACCTACATTACGGTAAAACATTCCATCTTCTGGTGCATTAACAATTAAAATTTAAAAACATTGAGGGACACAACAAAAAAAAAGCTTGATATATGAAAACCATCTTTTTGTTTCTCATTGTGTATGTGGGTGTATTTAAAGTATTAAACCAATATTAATTTTTAAAACAGGTAGGAATAATTTTTCAATGAATCACAATTGTATGAAAGATGCTAGGCAACAAAATACAAAATATATATTTTTCTATTCATATGCTGTCCTATTATCATTACATATAATTAACAACAACTTATTTACATAACAAATAAAACCATCAGCTATTTTCACTGGATTTTGATAAGAAATTATGAGGCATTTTTGTTTTCATTTAGATAATTTTTTATGCATTGTATGTATAAATAAAGTAATTACTATAAAAGTAAATAAAGTACGTACCTATTAAGTTTTACTGCCAAAATCGTATTCGAATAGGAATAATTACATATTTCAGTTCCTTTTTTAAAATGGCACACTTTTAACTTTCTGGGGGCAGCAAGAGATACCACCGCGACAAGACTACTACTGAAGAGCCTCTCAACCAAACAAGTATCTTCAGTTCCATTACTGTAAATTTGTTCTAGGGTGTCAACACCACTTAGTGAGTACAATCGGTAACCAGTCCTGCTTCCAACAGCCAAGGATCTGCAAAAAAAATAAAATTATTTGTTTAACACATTTTGTTGAGTAAATAAATACTTCCTAGTTGTTACTGTACACAGTAGATCTACCAACAGCAACTTTTGCTTACACATAAAATATTATAGCGCCCTACAATAATTACCCTAAATGTATTTCAAAGAAACTTGGGCAGGATTATTTAATGGTTGGACAAAACACTTGTGATTAAGGATTTATAAAATTTACCAAATGTTGAGAGAAACACATTATAAGTTTCATTCAATGGACCACAAGTAAAAAGTGTAGAGTATAAAAATAAAGTGACTGAAATGAATATGTTTTTTTTTAAATTGAACAAAAAATAAAGCAATTCGTAGACGTAAGTTATGACAAATATGGCGAAAAATATGTAAAGTTTGAACTCTATAAAATACGCCCATGAGATCAGTTACCTAAATGAAAACATTATTACAAAGGTCACAATAATTGTAAACTTGTGCCTATCCAATTATTTTACAGGTTTTTAAAATTTATCCAATTCAGTGGTTTTCATTTTTAAGTACAAAACAATGTTCATAAACTTGTGAAACTTATAAAATAAATTTGATTCTGAAAACTTTATTTATTTATTTGAAATTAAGTAATCTGATTTGAATCAAAACATTTTATATCTCCTATCATATACGGTAGACAACTTGGCATAAATTAATACATATTGCACAATTATCTTTTCTTTATAATCTTGTATTATGTTTTTCATAGCTTTTAAGTATATTTAAGTATATTTAATTATGAATGTTAAGATTTTTATATTATTATAAATTGGTTTATCCGTTAAATAAATAAATAAATAAATTACATTGATTCATTTTTAGTTTTAAATCTACTTAAAGCACTAAAATAAATGAGAAGGTCTCTAACTACATTTACACTACTACTCTTTTATTTCAAATTAACTTTGTGGACATTGTCAATAAATAAATAAATAAATAAATCATATAGCCGTTTTTAGCTGGAAATATGTAATAATAATAATAATAATAATAAAAAAAGGACTTTATATTATAAATAAAATGTTGGACAAAATACAAGATACAGTGTGAGTTAGTGATTAATAATGAAATATAATATTTAAAACAAAAATAATCTATAAATAATGCAGAAATTACAAAAGTTATAAACTGTTATAATATATAATAATTTTTATAAAAATTTAATATAAGTATGCAGGTATGTACATATTTTAATTTTTTAATTCTTAAAATATAAAATCATGGTAACTAACATGGAAGTGGGGGTGAAGCGCGCCCCAAAAAGGACACTTTTGCTACGACATCAACTTTACCCCTCAATATGAGTACCCTCGTCTCAACGATGTGTTGATTCAGCACAAGTGAGCTAGCATACCCAAATTTGAGTACGTTTTGTTCCTCAGGAAGGTCAGTTGAAATCGGAGAGCAATGAAAATGAATTTCCTGTGGCAGATTCGTGGCTCTCTGACTCATAATAATGAATTAGGCTTGTGAATACCTGACGAGAGCAATTCTCTATGTGAGGTTCATCTTCAAATATAATTAAGGCTGTTGTTTGATCATCTAAGTCTGGCCCTCCATGGTAAAGGGGATAGTGTCTAAGATTAGGAGAACTACTAGTGTTATTTGAATATGACACTCCTAAATCTGAAGCATGATGTGCCCAAATAAGAATATTAATAAAGTTGTTTCATGAAATTGCATTTATTACACATTGATTTATTACTTTTTAGATCAGAAAAACATTTGAAAAATGTGGAGGAACAGTGGTAATGCAGGATAGGTGGACAAATCATCATTCTCCAAAAAGGTGTATTTGTTTTACAGAGCGAGTTGCTGTGGGACAGTGGGGGTTGAAAATCCCCCAACAAAACTCCACCATTGGCTTGATGAGCCATAAAAATTGGAATGGTACTTTGGAATTCAGTTATATAAACATGGAACTAACTACAATAAATCACTTAAATCTGCTCACATCTAATACAATTATTGTATTACACAGCTGAAATAGATGAAATGCACAAAACAAATTAAAGTAAAAATCTAGGACAAACTTTTCGAAGACCAATAAAAATATAAGGGAGAGTGAATATATCTGTCCACAAACACTAAGTCAAAGATAACTCACTGGGTTAATCCTCTATAGTGTAAAAGAGACAAGTTGTGCTAAGGATCTCAGGGGAGTGGTGCTATAAGTCCTCGACAGCCCTGATTCTTACGAAAAAGAATTTCTGGGTATGTAGTTAACTTCCATGCAACTAGTCCACTAATTAGCTAACTGTGGTGATAGAAACTTTCACTTGAAATACTCAAAAAACTAGCCCCCTAGGAATTTACTCTGGAAAAAACCTCGGAACAATTGTTAAATGCACATGTGGCGATGGGAGGTTCAGAACTCTTTATGATTTCAGGTCTGGGCGTTAACTAGCATATACTATTTTCCTAACTTCCCATGATGGGCGAGCTCTCTTAAAAATACAAATGTATCGCGTCAAAACTGAATTCTGTTCTATGAAATAATGAACTTAATAGAAAATAAAAATGAAGAAATATTTGAATTAATTTAGAAAATAACACTCTTTAACAAGCTAATAATGGTAGGAATCTGAGAATAAAAAAATACATACTTAAAACAACAGAGTAACATGGATGGCTCTAGCTACCTCGGGAATTGTGTTGCTACAAATGTGGGAAATTTATCTAGACCATTGAAAACTTTTGGTGTAGCATTTATTAGAGCCTGTTGTGTTCCCTAAGTGATTAATTAAATTACATGACCTTGATGGGTACAATAATGGTAAGCTATGTTGCATGGAAGTTGTAATAACTAGTTTTTTCTTTTTGTCTGCAAATATTGCTATCCAGCATGATATACCTATAAAATTGGTAAAAAAAAAGAAGAATCAAGGGATCTAAAAGTAATGAACATTTAGTTTTCAAGGAGAATATTACTACTTAAGTCACATCAAATTAAGAATGAGGAAATAACTTACTATCACAAACAGTTTCAAAGTTAGGATGATATAGATAAATTTTTTATCAACCTGCACCTGTGGGTGCTAGAATTATGATCTCATTATATAATATCATTATAAATAATGTTATACATTAATTTAAGGACAGAGCCCATCCCCCACATATTATATCCAATTTTTTTAAAGATGCAGTGCCTCCCTTGGGTCCGGGGATTTTGCTCCCCCTGCCCCACCCTCTCGTCGGGCCTGTTTAAGGACCTTCTAAATGAAATATATTTGTCAACAAAGTATGTACCATCTATGTAAGATATCTTATACTAAGATATTAATGACAATATACTTATATTACAAATTAATTTAAAACAAAATTTAGTTATACTAAGGTCATTCAAATTTTACCCATAATTTCGCCACAAAATCTTATGGAAACGAGTAAGTTGGAACTCGGGCTTCACCAGTAACTCTAGCAGACTGTCTAGAAACATTATGTAATGTCATTTAAATTTTAATTATTTTTTATTAGTGCTGTCACTGTACAATCAGTTCATGTTTCAGTTGTGCAACAAATTATTATAAAATCATGTGACATTTTAGAAAGATTTCTTCAACAATGTGGAGGAGATACCATTTCTAAGTCCCAAGTGGTGCCAAATAAGTTAAGACTGCTATTCAATTAAAAAGACAGAACCAGTCAATCAGAAGCGTGATTCTTCTCTATGATAACGTCTGACCACATATCACTCAAATGTCTTGAGACACACAAATGGCTTGATCCCAACCAAAAGCCTTTTATAAAAAAGGTATTTTGAAGCTTACAAGAAAATGGCAATGGTGTATAGAGGTAATGGAGAGTATGTTGTTTAATGAAAGTTTTGATTCAATAAAGATTACAAACAAGATTCCGGATTAAATTTAAACCCCTCGTACCTATATTTTATATATATTTTAGGAGCTGCTTACTTTCCTCCAATGTCACCAAATGATAAATATGTTTCGTTCACTGAAAACTTTGATAATTTGTCAGAGATGTATCCTCATGCACAATTTTGCATTTTGGGCGACTTCAATTTACCTAAGGCCATATGGATGTCAAATAATCTATGCTCAACTGCTACCTCTTCCTTGGGACCTGGAACTAGAGCTGATGAAACTGCTGCGATTAATACTATCTCCAATATGTGTGCTTTTCACAACTTCTTTCAGAACAATGCAGTTCGGAATGATTACAATACTACTTTAGATTTAGTTTTTTCTTATCAATCTTCAACAACCACCTCTCTCGCTAGTGATGCTCTAATTAATGTCGATAAATATCATCCCCCATTACTTATACACTTGAACCTTGCTGTAAATTATTGTAACTCGTCACATGTACCTAATGAGTATTACTATGATTACAAATTCGCAGATTTTCGATCCATTGAACATCATCTGGGATTAATTCAGTGGGATTCACTATTCTTAAATAAATCACTTGATGAAATGGCAAATATTTTTTACGATTTTGTGTATTCTGTCATTCATTCCTTTGTACCATTGAAAAAATTATCCACTCGACGATTTCCCAGATGGTTTTCACCTGAATTGAAAAATCTCATAATTCTAAAGAAGGAGGCACTCCTTAGATTTAAATTTAGTGGATCTTCTCACGACTACATGGTATTCTCTAACTTGCGCTCTCAATGTAAACTTAAGTCTAAACAGAATTACAATGATTATATTAAACTTACTGAATCATCTGTTGGTAATGATATTAAAACATTTTGGAATTTTGTTAATTCAAAAAGAAAAAGTAATGAGTTACCCAACGAAATGTACTATAACAACACTAGATGCTATATGGGTACAGATTTAGCTAATATGTTTCAGGATTACTTTAGCTCAGTCTATAGCAATCAACCATGCCATAATTATGATAAACCATATTCAACCCATTTAAATGTTGCAAATTATCAAATATCTATTTCAGAAATATTTGAACATCTGAGCTGTTTAGATATGAGTAAGGGATCAGGTCCTGATGGCTTGCCACCTTCCTTATTGAAAACTTGTTGTTATGTTATATCCCGTCCACTGCATATTATCTTTAATGTTTCACTTCATAATGGAATGTTTCCCTAATTACTGGAAATCAAGTTTTACTGTACCAATTTACAAATCAAGCGACAAATCAAATGTAACTAATTACAGGCCAATATGCATTCAAAGTGTGATTCCTAAACTCTTTGATAGTATTATTACAAAGTATTTATCAAAACTGCTTGATCCTTTCATCATAGATCAGCAGTTTGGTTTCCGCTCCAAAAAGTCCACTGAACTTAACTTGCTGTCTTATGTTGATTACTTATCGAATGCCTTGGATTCTAATGATCAAGTTCATGCTATATAGCTTAGTAACATTGGCATTGGTGGTAATCTTCTGAAATGGATCGAATGCTTTATAACAAACCGCATTCAAATTGTTTGTGTTTCTGGTTTCTTATCCTCTGACTTTACCACTACATCTGGTGTCCCTCAAGGTTCACATTTGGGACCTCTACTTTTTAATATATATATAACAATGACATCCAAAATTGTTTTAAGAATTCTCAGTTCCTTTGCTTTGCTGATGATTTAAAATTATTCATGCGTGTAAATTCCTTACATGATTGTATTTGCCTTCAAAAAGACTTGGATAACTTGGTCCAATGGTGTAGTACTAATGGAATGGAATTAAATACAAGTAAATGTCATGCAATCAATTTCAACAGAAAACATAGTCCTATTGAATATATCTATAAAATCAATGACATAACACTGGATACTATTACAGAGGTAAAAGATTTGGGTGTGATATTAGACTCCACCCTTTCTTTTCAAACTCATATAACAGCCTCAGTTAATAAAGCATTAAGAATGTTGGGTTTCCTTAGAAGAACTACTTCTGATTTTCATAATGTGATGTGTTTAAAGATTCTTTATTGTGCCTTAGTTAGACCTTATATTGAATATGCTTCTTCTGCATGGAATCCTTTTTATGTATATCTAATCCATAATATAGAACAGGTTCAAAGAAAATTTTTACGCATTGTTGCATTTAAATCGGGCATTGTCCCGGTCAACTTCAGATACAATTATGACGAATTACACACACTTTGTCATCTTGAGACCCTTCTGAGCAGAAGATAGCAAAGGGATCTTAAAATATTGTTTAACATTATTAACTCATCTGCCAATTGTCCATACTTGTTATCCCAAATTGGATTTTCTGTACCCTCTAGAGTAACTAGGAATATTAATACATTCTCTCAACCTTTTCATAGAACAAATTATGGTTCTCACTCTTTTATTCCTAGAGTAACAAGATCTGCTAACAGACTAAATGTAGAATGGATTACTTCTCCATCAGATTTTTCTAACCATTTATGTATTTAAATTAATTTATTATTATTATTTAGGATTTTATTACTATTTAATGTATGTAATATGTATTATCTGTAATTGTATTGTTTTAATGGGCTCTGACCCGTAAATAAATAAATAAATAAATAAATAAATAAATAAATAAATAAATAAATAAATAAATAAATAAATAAATAAATAAATAAATAAATAAATAAATAAATAAATATAAATTTGTATTTGTTTGCAAAAGTACTCGATCAATCAAAATATAAATATAAGTATAAATTAAGTAATCTAGAGCAAAAAGTTAAGAAATAAAATTATTATTAAAAACATGCAATATTAGGTCATCTTGGTGCCCAGTTCCTTAGTAACTACCTGAACTGCAAAACAGCCCGAAGCTAATTTCTTGTTAAGATTCTTGATGTGTTCATCAAACTTTAAATGATTGTCTATTTAAAAGCCAAGGAATTTGGAGCATTGCACATTATCAATGGTCTGCTTGTTAAAAACAAGATCATTAAAAGCAAATTTAAATGAAACTACATTTGTTTTTTTTTGTGTTAAAACTCAAGCAATTAGTAACGCCAGTTTTTTATTTTGAGAAAACTTGACATATGGTTTATAAGATCTTCAGTATGTTTTCCATTCCAAAGAACTGTGGTATCATCAGCAAGTATTGTAAAGTTTCCAGATATTTTAAGAATTGTTAAATCATTAATATATAGCAAGGAAGGAACCAGTCATAAAATAGATACTTGTGGATCTCCATGTTTTAATTTGGAGCTGTATCTATCTTTGCAGCTTGTGTTCAACTAGTAAGTAACTTTTAAAACAATTCACTGTTAAATTTCAGAAACTGTACATGTACAATTTTTCCAAAAATAGTTAAGTATGTCTGATACAATCAAAGGCTTTCAAAAAGTTGCAAAAGACAAACATATCTCCCTGATTTAAGCTAATTTAGACTTTTTCCAAAAGAGAAAATATGGGGTCTTTCTGATTTTGGATAATATAAAAAGTAAAGATATGGGCCTAAAGTCAAAGAGTTTTTCCAGACTACCTCTCTTATATAAGGAAATTAAAAACTTTGTCCAATACTACCTCAGAGAAAAAAAATAATAGTTTTGTCATGTAAAAGAGGGGAGAGTTTAATAACCATATGAAATAACATTATGTATCATTGTTTTGTATTCTCTCACCACGAGTTGAACAATAATAATTTTCAAATATTATCTATGATAACTCAAAGTAATCCAAAGTAGATTGACAGATTAGGAATAAAACAAAGAGATTTTTAGAACATTTTCAGACTATAAAAAAAAACAATATTTGAATTTAAAAATGTATAAGAGTTAATTGATTTGAATTCAGTTGGAATATCATTTTATAATTTTAGTCCCACATAAGTGTAGCATTTTTGTCATATTCTTTTCTCTATGCAAAGCACAATAACTGCATGTTTTATTTTGCAGCTACCTGTGTGCCATTTGAATTAACTACTGATCTCAAAGGATTTTAATGTGAACCCATATTCTGTAAAATAAATATCAAATCCAGTCTCCAGGTCAAAATAACGATTTTGGCAAACCTAATATAATTCATTTGATGCAAGTATGGTTTATATATGTAATATTCAAATTACAAACATTTCCATTTGATCAGGGTCATCCATTACAACTCGGGTCCACAATTTCCAAATATTTATATTTGTTAAGGTCAAATTGAATAAAAAAAACACCTTCACATAAAAAAATATGTGAAAAGGTATTGATAAATGACGCACCTTTCTACGGAAAAACGCAAATTGGATAAACTTTGTATGCAAATAGAGAATCCACACCTTTAATTAGTAAACTTGAGGACATTTATAGAAAAATTATTATTAGGTACTCTGGTATAAAGACTTACGTGCTATCCTGGTTGAAATTTACAAAGTAATTTTTGGATCCATTTGAGTCAGAAGAACCTGTGCTACTCATGAGTCCGAAGGAGAAAAAACACTTTTCTTAATTGTTTAATACCTATTACGATATATATTGCTTACTTAAATTTGTACGCAACAAACTTATGTATTCCCAAAACAACTTCGCACAAAGACTGACCTTGCAATTACTAAACACAAACAACTATTTTACCATACTGTATTGAACAGCTGATGTAACTTATGACTCTGCGCATGTCTTAATAGACAATAAATATTATTAAACTAATTCAATAGAATACAATTAAAATATGCTCAAATACCCGGTTAAACAATTATAGTTTTGTTTCCAAAATATTTTAAATTTGCAATTTTCACTCAGTAATTTCAAACGTAAATCTTTTTTAAAAAATTATTTGGATGTTTTTCACTTTTCCACGAACAACAAACTTCACTTTTTATTTTTTATGAAATGTGAGAGGAAAAGTGTCAAGTCAACGTCACTGTCCAATCAATGTCAAAAATGTCAAGTTAACAATGTCACCAACATAGGAGCAGAATCTAATCCGCCTAGTGGTAATTCTATAACGAATATGTTAAAATTTAACGGACGTTAAAAATTTAACTTGTCCTAATTCACATAATAGTTCATTTGTGCCGCAAAAATCTATTCTATAAGCCGAAATATGTTAAAAATTTAACATAAATGTGTTAATTTTAAAAGGTATAATTAGTAGGCTTTAAAACTTAACATACAAGAAATTATGACTTTTGAACGTTTAATTCAACTTATAATGCAAGAAAACCATGAAAATTGACCATTTTGAAAGTAATCAAGTAATTTAAACAGTTGAAATTACACAAATTCTATTTAGAAATTATATTTTATTTATAGTGTATATAGACTTTTTGTAGTTAGTAATTGATTTGCGGTAGAATGGCACTATTAAGGTTACTATGGGGTTAGTTTTGTTTCTATTGAAAATTGATAACCTACCAAATAGTTTATAAAGTACATTCTGCCGCTACTTTTTTCAATATTCTTGTACAAAAACAGACAGATACAATAAATATAACAAAAGAAATGCCATTTATTCGACAGACCTTAAAACTTATAACCATGCTTTTATAACAAATTTGAACTACTTTTAACAGGAAAGTATGGCGGAGAGGCTAGCCGCGAGCTTAGTGTGCATCCACTTACTCGCAACAGTTAAGCAGTGATCTCTCCGGTCACGTCGTGGATGGGTGACCGCTAGGAGGTTCCACCATGGGCCGTGTCACCATGGGCCGTGTCACCATGGGCCGTGTCACCATGGGATTCATCCGACTAGCGTTTAATCATCGACGACGTGGAATGAATGAGGGTGTGAATGGGAAAGTAGTAGGACCTTCAAATGGTGGTACAATAAGCCGCAGGCTGCAGTGCTGCCAGACTACAGACGGGTTAGGGTGTAGCACGGGAGGTCTGAAGGGTGTAAAACTAAATAAAAAAAAAAAAAAAAAAAAAAAAAAAAAAAAAAAAAAAAAAAAAAAAAAAAAACAGTAAAGTATAGGAATCGTTGCATTTCGCAACTGGTTTCATAAATAGTTATTAAATTGGTTAATAAATAATGTTTTTCATTAATTAATTAACTTACTGACTGCTATTATTTTTTCGGAACATCTTTTAAATATTTCATATTTCACAATCACATAATAATATGGTGAGAGTCACTTTTGTTTCTGCTAAAAATTAATACTTATTTTAGGAAATTTGATTATTCGGCCGTTTTTTTTTTATTTCATGTAACATATCGTGTTATTAACATCATAAGCTCTTTTCTAAATTTTTGTTCATATAAACCTAAAAATAATAAATAAGGAGTAATCCAAAAAAATATTTCTACAGAAAAGGCCTTGAGAAAATTCACGAACGTTGAGTATGATTCGTATCTCTGCCGTCATTTGCCTACTTTTGAAACATTTTTTGTAGATCACTCTTTATAAAAATTACAATATTAAAATAAAGGCATTCATTTGGGAAGACTATAAGCGAATATTAAAATTACATTGTTAATGTAAAAATTTCATTTTAATCTTCGCTTAGTACTGTGACATTTGTAAACTTCAAAAATTGGATCTTTATTATTTCCACTAATATAAATATTTTTTTATGAATTTTCATTATTTGATCTAACTACCTATGTTAAGTCCAACACTGCTAGTAAATCTGTTATAGTTTGATAAAATATCGATAAGTCCACTTTATTAAATTTAGGTTTGGTATTACCATTTATGGAATAATTTATTTACTTGATACCTTTCCCTGCACAACACCTCGCCCCTCGCCCAGGAACATGATCAAATTGGGCTAAGCCATTTTACCATTGTATAAGTTCTTTATACAATGACCATACTTTTTATTTTAAATTTGAAATTTTATTTTTTATATAATTGTAACTGTAAAATTATAAGAATCTTTACTCTCATTTTCTCGAAATTATTTTAACACCGGTCCGAAAAATAACACCTCCGCCAGGCGCGGAGTGTTTTGCTCCACTTGACTGAAGTTACAGTGAAGTTACAACCCATCTCTAGTAACTACAAATGTCTATTTAAATTTAAAATTCTGTCATTTGTCATTTTAAAGAGCAAAGATAGACGAGGACGGTTATTTTATTCTGCCTTTTAATTTTTAATCACCTTTTAATTGTCTTCTAAAATAAAAACTTGTTTAAATAATTTTAAAAATGTGCGACTTAGTTTCCTTTCTAGTTGCAAGAGATCCCAGCATATTAGCGTACAATAGAGGACAATTACCTAAAATTAAGATACAATTTGATTCCCTAATGGAGAGTGATGATAATTCTTCAGCTAGCAGTAGTAGCAGTGAAAATAAAGAAAATCAAAAAGAGGAGGTAAGTATCGAAGATCGGCATTGACTATAAAAGATATTTGACAAAGATTTTCTATAAAAAAGTATTTGATGAACTAAATAGTTTGCTATTATACTATTTTATAAAATATTATCTTTTATATATACTTTTTGATACTGGTCGAAGATACAGCTAATCGTTTTCGTTTTTTTTATGTACAGCGATAATTCTTTATCACGTTTTCTATGATTATTTTTATGTTTTAAATAGGTCGAAATTTTGCATAAAGTAACTTGATAAAATATTTATATCTGTAAATATTAACATAATATTCAAATATTCTTTAATTGTAGAATTATTAAAAAAGGCAAGGTTCGAAAATATCATGATATTTATATAAATATATCACATGATATATATCTGATATATATCATATCTGATATATATCATTTTTAAAATTTAAGTAAAAAAAAAAAGTATTGCTTCTTGCACAAACTATATTTTAAATTTGAACACAAACATATTAACAAAAACCTATATTCTAAACAACAAAATCGTTTATTTTAACTCAGATTAAAAAGAAAAAACAAAAATAATTAATAAAAAACATATTTTAACATTAATATTTTAACACAAACGCATATAAATCGCTAGTTATTATACTTTTATTTAAGGGCGTATTGACATTTTTGGATGTTCAGAATGGTGGAAAACATTTTTAATTTAATAAATAAAATTATTGAATATATCGGATATATATCAAGGTATAAATATCATGATATATATCATGATATATATCACTTGATATATATCCTCCGAACCCTGAAAAAAAGGACAAGGAAAATCTTATTAAATGATTCAAAATATTCTTTATAAATTACCATTATTTACCATATTAGTTACCAAATTGAAAACGTAATTGAAATATTCTTTATTTATAAAAAAAATGTAGGACAAGGAAAATCTTTAAAATTGACTAAAGTTAAATTCCATTTTAACCATCTGCAAAAATTGTTAATTGCAGCTCATTTTACGTCTAGATATGCTCAAATGACTATAATTGGCAACCTATTATGCAGAAACGAAGGCAGTTTATATTTTCATCAGTTGTTGTCACTGAAATGAGACGTTGAAGTAATAGGTGTTGAGTTAATGGCATTCCGTGCCGCGTCAAGCCTGATGTAATTAAATTATTTCTGTTTTTTCCCAGTTATATTACACTACTCAAAACAATTATCGCATATTACTGATGCCCTTCCTATGGGGCCTCAGTATTGCATTTGTGCAGACGAAAAAATTTTCTGACCCCCATTTTTTAAAACTTTTTTTCATGTTTCTGATCATTCTGAATCCGAAAATCAAAAAAAAATGTTTCGTCTGGTCGTCTGTATGTATGCCGGCACGATAACTCTAGAACGAAAGTTCTGATTGACTTGCGGTTTTGATTTCTTAAATAATTACTTCTAACTTACAACCCTATTGATTTTCCGAAATTTCGGTTCATCCTAACTACTTTAATAACAATTTTCTTAAAATCCGCCTATGCATTCCTTTAGGAATTTCAATTATTTCTGAAGTCAAAATTACTAACATTCTTCACATTCCATAAATTGCAAACATTCTCTAACGACCTGCCAAACAACAGCTGTTGATAGTAAAGGTTACATTTCTAAGGCGGATTGCGACCTTCATACTTGCAACCATATAGCCATTTTGGAGGCTATTTTCATTCGAAATTAGTCGCCAAGCCTGCCAATTTATGAAAAATATATAAGCAGTTTCTTAAAAATGACTTTTTATGGTGGTGCTATTAAACGTACTACTATTTCGCCCCTAGCCACAAAAACACCTTCATTAAATTTCTCTGTCGGAACCCCATAGAATAATTAACCAGCCATTTTATTTGGCAAAAATCAAAATAATGCTTGGCTCTGCCTGTCAAGTATCAATATGTCAACTGTGAATGGCTCTTAAATGTCAAATTATTTAAAAATGTATATTTCTTCTTTTGATATTTATTGCAAATAATAAATATCTCAATTCAGGCTTTCCATAAATAAAAGTACAGCAAGACAGATAATATAATGTTCTTATACAAAGCACTTTTTTATTATATAAAAGAGAGGTAGGATATAATGCCCATTTCAAATTTGGATCATTTATGATACCGAGGTATTTTGTTGTTTTTCATTTTAATTATAAAGTTGTCATTTAATTGTATGTTGAAAGAAGGCCTTTGTAAATTACATTGCTCTCTATGGATCTACTTTAACACAAAAATAGTTTTGTGGCTATAAGTTGCTATAACCTATCTTCACAAAACTATTAATAATTTAAACATAGTAAGTGGTATTAATATAACATCAATTAATTTTTTAAACAAGTAAATTTTTATAATAAAGTACATGATCTCAAAACAAATAATCTATAATAAATGCGGATAAAACGAGGGGTAAAATAGCAATAAATTAAGGGAAATACTTAAAAAGGGCAGGTTTCAAGAGTAATATCACATGAAAGTATATCCGTTCTGTTTATTTATCAAGTATTGTTTGAGGTTACTTTTGAATACAGTTATTGTTTTTTTTTTAATTTCTGTAGGCAGTCTATTAAATTTTTTAAACCTTTACTAAAAACTGTATTTTGGGAACTTTTAGTGATGGCTTGCCGTACATGAAAGTCAGATTGGTTATTGGTATTATAGTTGTGATATTGCGAATTATATTGAATTTTTTCTAATAGATCTGATGCGATGATACTATGTCATTTTTATTTTATAAATAAATATCCGTCATGTACTAAACATAATTCTGAACTGAAAGCCAATTTATTTCTTTTAACAAGGTTTAACCTAAGTAATGCCAATGCTTCACAAACCAAAAAATTCAACGTGCTAATACTACTATCGGCTTTCGGTATTTCGTTCCAAGTGTAAGGGTTTTCTCGCCACAGAGAAAACGGTTCCTTACGAATGACGCTGGTTACGGGCGGTTCTCGAGCGCTAGATTTTTGGTTATGGTTTACTCCACAAACTCGAAACGGCGTCGAAAGTACTCGGGTAGCTACAGATGGAGATGAAAAATTCCAGGGGTCAAAGGTCACTTAGTCACAGGTAATAGTTAGCCACAAGTAACGGGCTTTAATCGTTGCTTGGGCTGGTACAGAATTTATCACTAGCTGAAATACAAGGGGGAAATAAAGTATGGAATTAGTAACCAGTAATACGGCAAGTTAACATTGACACATATATTGTTTTCAACTATTTACAACATAAAAAAAATATATATTTCAACGCCCACCCCAGTTGTGGCGATAGTCAATATAACCCTGAACAAAAAATAAAGAAACAAAACGGACGGTATTGAATCCCGACTAGTCTCAATCAGACGTCAAAATTGAATTAAAATAAAATGAACGTTTCGGTCGCAAAAAAAAAATTATTAACTTGGCTATTTACTTGGTAATTAAACTAAAACTTAATTTCCCATTTCGGTAAGGAAAAATCCTCAGAGCGGTCGTAGTAAAAATTAACTATTTAACTGTTATATCGGGAATCAATCTAAAATGTAGGTACTTTACTAATTCGGTAAGGAAGAATTATCAAAACGGTCATAGAGAGTGCGAGGAGAAAGGAACGCGAAAGAGCTACTTATAGTAAATATACGGAAAGGAAAAAAAATAAATTTATACCCGGGGTAGCCTATTATCCCAGAATGAGCTGATCGTCACCACGAGCCCGCTCAGACAGGGTAATGAAGCTATTTAAGATTTTTTTATTTGCAATTTGTAAGAAAAAAAAAAAAATGAAGAATACAAACGGAATAAGAAAACTAACGCGGATAGCACCTAGTCCAAGAATGAACTGATCGTCATCACGAGCCCGTTCAGACAGGGACATGATACTATTTAAAGTTATGTAAATTGACGGTAAAAGAGAAAAATAAACTATTATTGGAGGGAAGAAAATTACTAACGCGGATAGTACTTACTCCAAGAGTGAACTGATCGTCATCACGAGCCCGTTCAGACAGGGACAGGATACTTTTTAAGATTCTTTAAATTTGCGGTTTACACATTAACAAAAAAAAATTATAACGCGGATAGCACCTACTCCAAGAGTGAACTGATCGTCATCACGAGCCCGTTCAGACAAGGACATGATGCTATTTAAGATTATTCAAATATACGGTAAAAGAATAAACTATTAAAAGAGGGAAAATGTCTCCTCGAAAACTCCGTTTATAAATATTCCCAACTTAATTACAACGCGGCCTTACTAAATGTTTATCAATAAAATCAAATTTAATTCCCGATTTAACCTACCAAAAAGAAAAAAAAATAATTTCTTAATACAGACTAACGATCAAAAGTCTAAATCCCCGGTTTTACAATATTACAGAATTAATTTATTATTTAAATCAAATTCTATCCCCTTTAAAGAAACGGTATTATATTTGCCAAGAAATAAATTCTAATATTTATTAATGAAATCAAATTTAAAATCTTAACTCAACACTATCTATAAAAAACGGTATTGTTACGCAGCACCCTGGAGTAACCTGCGACTATCATAGGAAACGTAGAGATAGAAACAAATTCTAATATTAATGAAATCAAATTTAAAATCTTTTAACTCAACACTATCTATAAAAACGGTGTTATTTGCCAAGAAATAAATTCTATTATTTATTAATGAAATCAAATTAAATCTTTTAACTAAACATTGGATGAATATGTTCCTATTCCTACAAGCTAATTCGGTTTTTTAAAATGAAATACGGTCTCAATATAAAACGTAAAAAGCGATACAAGGTTTTTTACCTAACGGATTTGTAAACACGAGAAAGAAAAATTATCGGCGGTGAATTGATTTGTGGTGCGGCTTATTATTCTCAACTGGTGACGGTCAAATATTATATCGAACTGAACATTTTAATTCCATCTCGGGTCTCGCTCAACTGTAGAATCCCTTTCCCTATCAGAGACCCCACCAACGCCAGTCCCACCGGGTAGCGATATCTCGATCGCGCATCTGTAAATTA